CCCCAAAACCCCAAAACCCCAAAACCCCAATATTAAATTTAATAATTGAAATTAAACAATTAGAATTTTATCATTCAGCAAGGTAGAGGACGAGGTCTTGGTTTAGCTGGGTCTGGGGGTTTTTGGGTAGAGAAGCGGTTTGGGATTTTAGAATGCTTGGTGGGTTGGTTTTATAGTGGTTCTTGGTTATTTTGAGTAGATTTGATTTGTTAGTATTGTGGATGTGGGCTGAGGATTTTGATCTTTCTACTTTGGGTAGGATTTGGCAGGAGTTTTTAGGCAGTGTATTTGATGGATTTTGTTTTGGAGAAGTTGAAGTGGCCTTTTTGATCTTTGCCACATCGCATAGTGGCAGGACTTTGTTATTCCTTTCTAACTTTCTGAAGGATTCTTCCTTTGACTCTTCTGAAAATATAATTTGGAGCTTACTTAATCTTTTTTATTTTACAGGGTGCTTTATTTTCCTTTAATAGAGATGAGATCAAGTGACTTTTCTTTGTCTATTCTGCTTATAATTGTTCATCATAAATTCCTGCAAGGACCTCTCTGCCTCGTCTGCCTGCATTGTATAGGTTTGCATAGCTCTGAAAGTTATTGATGCTTCTGAAGTCTACAATATGATCTTGGCTATTAGTCTTCGTACTTCTGGGCAACAGATTCATATTCATCTTTGGGGTAGCTGTATTACTTGCTCATCAACTTGATTCCATCCAGCTTACAGAGGTTAAAGCAGTTATGGGCTGAACAGACATGAGGTTTTCTGCTGATCTGACCAACAATTTTAGGCTTATCAGAGTTCTTTCAAGCGAGATTTTTCTCGTATTTCTTGGTGATAGCTGGAATTCTCCGCTTAAATTTTGGAGATATATTTCGTATACTCCGAAGTGAGCTGTTGGTCAGGTATTTTGATTGAGAATAGTTCGAACGAGGGAACCTGGGGACTACGGAGCATGACTTATTACGCTCTTTATGAGGCAATGCCATTACTCGGACAGACTTATTGGTATATACCTTTGGCATATTCTGATTTGTCATTATTTCTACAGGTTATAGAAATCTTACTTTTACGCACAAATTCCTTATTTCCAAGCTAAAGGATCTACACTTTCCATTATATCAGGGAAATTTCTAAAGTTTTAGGGTGATTTGCAAACTTGAATTTTTCTAAGTAGGCTTTAAATGATTCTCTTCTGCAATTTTCTATAATCAGGATCAGCTTAGAGACACAGAACCAAGAGCCCTGTAGATTTTTCAATGCTCCTTAAATCACATACACTTCTTTAACCCCATGTGAAGAATAATATGGTCGTTAGGATCACTTACCACCTATTTCCATTCCGAATTATAAGGTAATTATTTCAATAAATCTTGTATTAAATGGGGTTTTGGGGTTTTGGGGTTTTGGGG